CCAACGAGGTATAAATATATGGAAATAATTATAAAGACATACTCACATTAATATAAGCCCCATCATCAGTGTCCTTAGTAGGTGGTGCGTCTGGATCACAAGCTAGGAGCTCCACGTTACCTAGGTGGAGGATCGTTGCTAGGATACGGAACATGTCGTCTTGTTCCGTCTCTGTCACTCCTGGTAGGGTGGAGAGGGATGGCGTTATAGACTGATTTTTGCTAGTACATACATATATAGTTCGACGCTCTGATTAGTCGGATCCAATAAACCAACCAATCAGAGCTACGAACGCGGTCTCGTTCCAATTTTGTTAAACGTAAACTCAAACTGAGCCCTCAGTTCCGCCGCGTCAAAATCGTCTTTATCACCTGTACAATAAGGTTCATATTGCAATAACTCACCTAGCGTAGTTAATGCGCTTCTAGTTTCGTTAAAGGTACGTAGATCATCAACGCCATCTATATTTGGACTGCCGCCTTGGTTCAAATAGTGGAAGGATTCTTGATGATCTGTAAAAATATACAATACACAATAATTCATTGAGTAAATAAAAATGTACGTTTAAAAAAACACATTAACTTCTTTTTTATTTTTTTTTATTATTATATTATTACACTAGCTACTTGCGCGCGGTTTCACCCGCTCTGCTCCTAATCGCTAAAACGCTGGTGACGCACTTGTAAAGCCTCTGGTGTTCCATGTGTCCATGGGCGACGCCGATTGCTTACCACCAGGTGATCCGTCTGCTCGTTTACCGGCTTATGTATGCCATAAAAAATGTAAATACTCAATTAGGACACTCACCTAACTGTAACTCCGGCATCTGCCTGGCAGCAGCGCAGAGCTGGTAGAATATATGGTAGTTCCTTTCTCCGGCACTCTGGTAGACCACGCGAGACTTCTCAAGTAAATAAGTGCGCATACTGGCGCCCGAGATACGATATACGTTGTCAAAATGTATTTCTATGAATTTGCCGAAACGAGAAGAATTGTCGTTTCGTGTTGTTTTCGCGTTGCCAATTGCCTGGAATAAGAAAAGAAAAGCTATTAGTAAATTATTTGATTAAAATTTGTAATTTTAACTTTGATTCTGATGTTGATGTTGACTTTAACACTTGATTTTTAAGTTCAACATTTGATATTGATGTCAACTGTCAACTTTCCACCTTGCGTTTATATGACCTTCAATTTAATTTTATTTTTGAGTTTCAAACTTTCTACTTTGATCTTGACTTTCAACATTTACTTTAGACTTTTGGCTTTCAACTATAAGATATAGCTAATGTTTAAATAAATAAAACTTGACTTTGACCTTAACTTTGATATGGAATTTACCTCCATAACACCTTGACAATAAACGTTCGTACCGTGCAAATAAACGTTCTTATTCTTATTCTATTCTATTGACTTTTAACTTTGACCTTGATTTCTTTGTGAACTGTGAATTTCAACTAAACAAATGGCTAATAAATATCAATTTTAAGATCCAAAGTTACCTCCATAATAGGACTGGAAGCCAGCACTTTCCTCTCGACCTGCGTCTCGCTGGCGTTGCCGCCGACCGCCGCGAAGTATCGCATCGCATACTTAGCTGACACTGTCTTACCGGCACCTGATTCACCGCTCACTGGAATAATGTAAATGGGAATAAATAACATTTAATCATTCAACAATTACCCCTTCCTTCCTCAATCCCTAAATGTTCAACAAACCACAAATTCCTATTCCCAAAAGGCCGGTAACGAACTTATAACGCCTCTGGTGTTCCAGGTGTCCATGGGCGACGCCGATTGCTTACCAACAGGTGATCCGTCTACTCGTTTACTGGCTTATCCCATTAAAAAATAAAACAAAATTGAATGTATTATTTTCCCTAAAAGAACAGGTATAGGCCAATTAGTGGCGACTACTACAGGGTGGCAAGTCGGTATCCCACGGGCCCCCAGCCAAAAGTGGCCCCGTCCAGAGTGTCGTACCTGAAATTCTCGGTTTTCCAACTAATTAGGTATTTTGTCAAATTTTCATCATTTCTAAAAAAATCTCAGTGCCAAAAAAATGGATTTCTACCTAAATGAGGCAGGACAAAAATATGTACCTAAAGTCTAATTTTTTAAAATTAAAATATCATAAGTAGCCCTAAGCCCTAAGTTTAAGTGTGGGAGAGCAATGCTTCGGCACGAATGAGCCGGCTCGACCGGAGTGATACCACGGCCTCACAGAAAACCAACGTGAAGCAACGCTTGCGTTGTGTTTCGTCGTGTGAGTGAGGTTACCGGAGCCCCAATTACCCTCCCCTTCCCCTATCTCCCCAATCCCTGAATCCTCAACGGTCCTCAAACTCCTAATCCCCAAAATGCCGGTATTTTGGGGAATGTTTAACGCACTTGTAACGCCTCTAGTGTTCCAGGTGTCCACTGTCCATGGGCGATGCCGATTGCTTACCATCAGGTGATCCGTCTGCTCGTTTACTGGTTTATGCCATAAAAAAAAGTCAATACTAAACTAGACTGTATTTCTAAAGACTTTAAGCTCTATTTTACAATGAAACTCACCAATAATACTCTGATCCCTCCTCTCTCGTTCCAGCTTGGTGTAAGCCTCCTCCGACACGGCGAATATATGAGGATCCAGATCACCCATCGCCTGCCCGCGGTACGCCATTATCGTTTCATCGCCTGGGTGATAAAAAAATATTTTTGTGTATTTTAGAACTTAATAGTTTAAGCAATGAGATTTATTTATATTTATTGTTTCATAACATAACATCCTGTTATCCCCGAAGGGGTAGGCAGAGGTACACATAACGGCCACTGTACAATGTAACACCCACTTTTCTATTTATGTTTTGAGGCCAATTAATAGGGGCGTGAGCCTATTGGCAAATAGCTATTACTGCGAATTTCTTAAAAAAAAACCCAATAATACTTTGCCCGACCCGGGAATCAAACTCGATACCTCTTGCTCAGCAGTGGCACTTGCGATCACTCGGCTAACGAGGCAGTTGTTTCATATCTATATTACTTCGTACCTCCATGTATATATTTGTATTATATTTGCCGGAATACTGAAACGTTACTCAATTTTAAGTCGTGCTTAAATATCGTGCCATCTCTGTCATTTTACTAAGAATTTGTGAAGACAGAACTATACTTAAGCACGACTTAAAATTGAGTAACGTTTCAGTATTCCGACAATTATGTATTATTTATGATCCATTTATTTATTAATTTAATTTTTTTATCCGACAACGATAGTTTTGACTTTTCGACCTACCGGACGAAACCTACACGTAACTCACTGCATGGTGCCACCCGAAAACCAGCGTTGAGTGTTACCGCACTCAACATAATACTGAGGTGGAGGCCCGTTCGGCATGTGCATGCATTTATTTTTATTATTTTTTTTTCTATTATTTCTTTTTGACTACATCTCTGTACAAGTACTTAATGTGCCAAATAAATAATTTCCTTCTTTCTTTTTTTCATTTAATTAAAATAAACAAAGTTTGCATGAGACAGAAATATTTTAAAAAATGTTTTGCACCAGTTACGGTAACTCCCATGCAGTAGGGAGTCTAATGTTATATCAATTTCGCCTGTGATAAAGGATATTCTTCCTAGTACAGGCATTCAAACTTAGTGAGATCTCTGATTTTAAATTAAGAAGTTTATCTGTACTATAACCAATTTATTACAATGAATAAAGATTTATTTATTTTATATTCCAGACACAATTCCAAACTTCGTTCTGTTACTGAGATATTTAAAAAAATCGAAGTCAAAGTTGAGCAGAGCTGGCAGAGCTTCAATTTGAGTGCATAACATATATACTAGTCAAAACAAAATAAGGGCCACCACGTTTTTATAGTTTCCTCATGAAATTTTGAGGTTTAAGGGTTAATTAATGATTAGATTTGATAAATTAACTGTTTTTTATTATTAACAGCACAAAATGATGAAAGCCACATTCCAAAAAAATAAAATACCATTTTTTCTGAAAAACTAACATTTTTGCAAGCAAAACGTATGAAATAAAATTAAATGAAAAAAGAAAAACAAATCAGATATTGGTTGAATTGTAACTCCTCAATATTTAGTATGCCCTCCTCGTTTTCTAATGCACTCTTGAAGCCTGGATGGTACACTCTCCACCAAGTGTACCACTGTTTCTTGAGGAATTTGTTCCCAGCTTGATTTTAAAATGTTTATTAGCTGTCTTTCATTGTGCACGGGTTGGTTTGTGCTTCGAACGTTGCGTTTGAGTAAATCCCACATGTGTTCAATGGGATTGAGATCCGGACTGTTTGCAGGCCAGGGCAACACCTGTATACCAGCCTCCTCTATAGCTTCTCTAGTGGCCCTAGCTGTATGAGCGCGAGCATTATCGTGCATCAGACGGAATCTTGCGCCGATTCTTTGTGCATATGGGACCACATGAGGTCTTATGACCTCCTCGATGTAACGTTGAGCTGTAATTGTGCCTTCGTTGAGAATTATCAACTCAGTTCTACCTGATGTAGAGATTCCTCCCCACACCATAACGTTAGGGCCCCCAAATCTGTCACTTTCATGGATACAAGCATCCGAAAATCGCTCACCTTCACGCCTCCAGACCCTGATGCGACGGTCATCACTAAAAAATTTTACTTTGCACTCATCCGTAAACAATACTGTGCTCCATTCACTCATATCCCATGCCAGATGCTGCCTTGCGAACGATAATCGGTTTGCACGATGAGCACTTGTCAATGGTATCCGCACTACACGTCTCCTAGAGAACTGCTGGTCCTCGTGTAACCGATTTCTAATGGTTTGATCACTAACACGTGTACCCGTAGCCTGTCGCAAACGGTTTTGTAAGGAACGGGCTGTGATGCAGCGTTCTCTGCGCGCAGTCAAACGTATGTAGCGGTCTTCCTGTGCGGTAGTTGCTCGATTTCTGCCAGATCCCCGTCTCCTGGTTAGTCTCCCAGTCTCTTGAAATCGATTCCAAGCATTCTGAATTGCTCGCCGAGAAAACCCCAGCTGCATCGCAACAGAACGCTGCGAATGGCCTTCTTGAAGTAATGTTACGGCCCTAGTTACGGTTGGTAAGTCCATATGTCGTCGGATTCTCGGCATATCTTTGTTAAAGAAATAACTCAGCCAGAAGTAAAACAAAACTAAACTGTTCTTGACAGAATCGTCAGTTTGACTGACTTAAAATCCATCTTAAAATCGGGTAAAATCAAGTGGGTACAATAAATTATCAAAAACTGCCCACTTCACAGAGTTATGCCTGTAGAACACTTAAATAAATGTTTGTAAACAAATAAGGTAACGCTGTAATAACCATTCAGCTACTTGAGTACGAAGAAAAAATAAATTATCGCTGCCGCTGTTAAAAATAACAAGTGGCCCTTATTTTGTTTTGACTAGTATATTTATTATTTGAAAGAACTTGATATTAAGAAGTATAATAAAAGATAAACAGACAGAATACATATTATATATACAAGGTGTAGTTTTGAAACCGTGGCATATCTCGGGGGCATGTCACAGAAGTCATGAAGGTTCAATGTAAGAGAAAGTTTCGGGCCAATAGTTAAAAATACGGCTATAATAAATCGTTTAAGTTCGACAGTATTTCAGAATAAGAGGCAGCAATATTTCTTATTGGAGTTTTATGGAATTAGGAATAATATCAATTTCGTGTTTGAGTTTGTGTGTGTTGAGCCGCGTTATAAAGCTAGTTACAAGACGGCGGCGTGTAGTTCGCGCTTACGGATTTCCGTAATTTACAGAAAAATGAAAAATGTTTACGTACAAATTTTTTTACTGATTCGGACTCAGAATCGATAGCCGAGTTACCTCCTAGAAAATGACGCGGCTTTAAAACAACACCTTGTATAAACTCACCGTATATTGGTAAATCATAGTATGGATTGATTGCAACTAGAACGATCCCGCAGTATGTGTAGATGGCGTTGCGGTCGCAGAATCTGTGGACAAAAAAGAAATGTTACATTCATGACAATAAATACTAAAATATAATACAATAGGCTCACCTCCTATTACATGGGACTCATAACATAAATAGTGAGAAGTGGGTGTTACATTATACAGCGGCATAATGTACACCTCTGCCAACCCCTTCAGGGATAAAAGGCGTGTTGTTATGTAAATACTAAAATAACTTCGAAATAAGTCGCTAAGTGTGGGAGAGCCATGACTCGGCACTGCTGGGCCGGCTCGACCGGAGTGATACCTCCAACGAGCAGAAAGCCGACGTGGAACAACCAACGCATTACCTCTACGTTTCGTCATGTCACTGGAGTTACTAAAAGCCGCTCAATTACCTCACAATTTCTCCAATCCTCGAATCCCCCACAATCCTCAAATTCCCAATTCCCAAAAGGCCGGTAACGCACTTGTAACGCCTTTGGTGTTTCAGGTGTCCATGGGGGACGCCGATTGCTTACCATCAGGTGATCAGTCTAAAAAAACCATCTGAACTAAGCAATTTTCGACGCTAAACCGCAATAGGATTCGAACTTAAAATCTCATTACAAGTATTGTTAAATGTAAAGGTCATTCATTTTATAAAAATTAATACAACAAGCAATTTTGAACCTTATACAATTACCATTAAATTGTAATTTAAGTTGTGTTTTACGTATTATTTTATACTAGCGACCCGCCCCGGCTTCGTATGGGTGCATTATGCATATATTATACATATAAACCTTCCTTAAGAATTAATCTATTGATTAAAAAAACACATCAAAATCCGTTGCGTAGTTTTAAAGATCTAAGCATACATAGGGACAGAAAGACGGCGGATAGCGACTTTGTTTTATACTATGTAGTGATGTTTGAACAAGTGGTAGGTAGGTATGTATGTATGTATGTATGTATGTAAGCATGTAATGAAAACAGATACTTGAAATCAACTTGTAATGTATCAAATATTTTTTTCGACTATATTATTATGTTTTCGGCTTACCCACGTAATTATTTGACGACTAGTTTCAAGAGGTTCATATTCATGAGCAGCATTTCGCGACCCGCGACGCGGCGACTGTTGCGCTGCCATCGCCGCTAGTAGCATCTAGCATGGCTTGAAACTAGTCGAGTTCCTCGTCAAATAATTACGTGAGTAAGCCCAAATCATAATAATTTATTTAGTACTAGCGACCCGCCCCGGCTTCGCACGGGTGCAATATGCATGTATTATACATACAAACCTTCCTTAAGAATTACTCTATCTATTAAAAAAAACCGCATCAAAATCCGTTGCGTAGTTTTAAAGATCTAAGCATACATACGGACATACAGCGAAAGCGACCTTGTTTTATACTATGTATTGATGTCTCACGAAAGTTATAATACAATTTTTTCAACTGTCGTAAGAGCCGACTAAGAGACTACACATTTGACAGAGTCCGGGCAGCAGCGCCCTCTGATAAACCTGAACCTTTTATACTACGATTACCAACCTGCTTTTTATGTAGAGGCCTGTAATCCAACAGTGAATTAATAAAGGCTGTTTATGCCTTAACATTAGCTAAATTATTACGTAGGTCCAAAGATGCTATTTAAAAAAAAACAAAGTTGCCCCACTCTAAGATTTTCTCCTGTGTCGTGGGTGCGTTTACAAACATACAAGTTCACATACACATCACACCCAGACCCGGAACAACAATTTGTGGATCACACAAAGTGTTATTCCGTACTGGAATCGAACCCGCGATACCCTGCACGGCAGTCAGCCCAGCCACCGCACCAACCGTGCAGTCAACAGTGGTACAATGTACACCTCCGCCTACCCCTTCGGGGATAAAAGGCGTGATGTTATGTTATGTTATTAAAATTGTAAAAACAATATCTTTTTGTCAGCGTCTCGGGAGCGCAGCGTGCCGTTCACAACTTGTATCCTTACTAATATTATAAATTGGAAAGTGAATTTGTTTGTTTGTTCCGCTTTCACGCCGTAACTACTACACCGATTACTTTGAATTTTCGCAGACGTAAAGTTAGAAGTCTGAATTAAACAATAGGGTACTATTTTCCCGGAAAAAATTGATATTTCTGAGAGAAAACCAAAGTTTTGGTATAGATGGCTGTGTGTATTGGTATATGTCACATAGGCTACGTTTTATCCTTTTGTGACGCGAGCGAAGCCGCGGGTAAAAGCAAGTATAATAATATATTAGACTTCAAGTCCATTCTTAGTACATTGAGTTCAAAAACCAACAATAATATGCGATATTAACCCCAATTGAACTAAAGCAATGAACACAAATATATATTTTATTGCATATATTAAGCAACAGGAAGTTTATATACCAACTAACTACCTAATATAAATAGAAATGAATCACTGAAATGTATTGTTTCAAGTGCAATTCTCGAAAACGGCTGCACTGAATCGACTTTCAAATATTTCCTTCACAATCGAGAAAAGATTATTTTTCGCGGATTTTCTACTTAAACCCTAAAGTTGACTGGTAAGAATGCCATATGGCATTAAGTTCGCCATATATGCCATAATAAAATTGTGTACATAAAAGAATAAATAAATGTAGTAAACATAACATAACATCACGTCTTTTTATCCCCGAAGGGATAGAAAGAGATGTTCATGACGGCATTTAAACTGTCAAACACCAAGCGGTCACCGGTGACCGCAACCTATTGTTATTTGTTCTATAATTGTGTCTACAAAACCGGTACTCGACGAGTTAATGCCACTGTACAATGTAACACCCACTTTTCACTATTTATGTTATAAGTCCCATGTAATAGGGGGTGAGCCTATAGCTATATACCTACCGGGAACAATTCCAGACTCCGTGCGACTACTGAGATTTTTTTAAAATCCTTTGCCCGGCAGTCGCACACTTGCGACCTCGGCAACTCGGCCAACGAGGCAGGAAAAATGGTAGATTCAACTCAAAACCTACCTATCGGATGCATTTTGTACGGCTTTTTATAAGGGGGGAAAATCATCGAATGACTGCTCCCGCCTTTGCGTAAGACTCTTACTGACTAACCACCACCCCGTTCCTTCTCCTGCACGTCGAGCCGGAGCCCCGGTTACCCGTTAGGTTCTCCGCGACATTTTGTACGGCTACCACCAATAGACAAAGTGGTTGCTAAGGACCGTTTAGATTTAAAATTCTCTAGCTTCTGCCAGCGGCTTTGCCCGCGTTCCAGTAGATTAGAATAAAAAGTACCCTATATGTTTGTCCAGACCATAATCTACCTCTGTTCCAAATTTGTACTCGATCCCTTCAGCCGTTTTAACATGGAGGAGTACTAAACAAACTTTCGGATTTATATTTTACTAGCTTTTACCCGCGGCTTCGCTCGCGTCACAAAAGGATAAAAAGTAGCCTGTGTGACACATACCAATACACACAGCGCCATCTATACCAATAATTTCGTTTTCCCTCGAGAATATGAAATTTTTCCGGGATAAAAAGTACCCTATTATTTAATACAGACTTCTAACTTTACGTGTGCAAAAATTCAAAGCAATCGGTTTAGTAGTTACGGCGTGAACGCAGAACAAACAAATAAACAAACAAACTCATTTTCAGATTTATAATATTAGTAAGGATAAGGATTAGTATCATTAAAAGGAATATGGTGATTAACCACGCGGGCAAAGCCGCGAGCGGAAAGGTATTTTTTTCTATGGGACGGATCACTTGGTGGTAAGCAATCGGCGCCGCCCATGGACACCTGAAACACCAGAGGCGTTACAAGTGCGTTACCGGCCATTTGGGGATTGGGAATTTTAGGATTGTGGGGGATTCGGGGATTGGGGAGACTGGGAAGAGGGAGTAATTAGGCCTTCGTTTTTACGTTATTGCCTCGTGTGTTTGGTAGGTTCGCCCCTTACTTCATGGGACTGAAACCATAACTCTACATCTCTACTCCCTCATATAAAAATATCGTGATATCATAGATAAATATCTACATTAGAAATATCACTTACAAAATAATCATAGTACTGATTGAATGCAACAACTGTTGTAGTGGTACAAACGTTATCAGTACTTATCTGCGCACGCGCATGACTCAACGATTTCATCATATATTAGCTTTGTACGGAAACCATTGGTTTATCGGCCGGTTTATTGTGTCCCGTTTTAGCTTAAAATGGTTAGGTATTCCCTAATGCTGAATTAAATTTCATTGATTTGTAACGTAATGTAAAATCAAGTGTTTTTCTGAGATTTTTTTTTGGTGTGCCTACGTTTGACCACTACAGTTTTTTTTTAAGGGGGGAAAATCATCGAATCACTGCTTCCGCCTAGGTGAGGCGGGAGGGAGTGTCAGACTCTTACTGACTAAAAACGACCCCGTTCCTTCTCCTGCGCTTCGAGCCGGAGCCCCGGCAACCTGTTGTTAGGTTCTCCGCGACCACTACAGTATTTACGTTTGCAATTGCCCAAGGATGTACTCAAAGCTTTTCGTTTTATATGCCATTTATCATAAACCTTGTTTCAACAGACTTGACCAATGAAAATAGAATTACATTATTCGAGAATACCCAACTAATTTCGAGCCACACCGGAGCTCATAATCAAAAGCGTAAATGTAAAAAATACAACCATTTACTCACCTAACTCTAAGGTTATGCAGCACAGCTGGCTCGTGAAGGTATGACAGGGAAGTCAGGTCGTTCTGCCCAATGAGGAGTGAGGGGTTCCGGAGTGGAGGCATCTTCGTCTCATCCTTGATCTGGAAAACCAAGTCATTATTTTAATACCTTAAAATATATCCAACACTGCATTACTGCCTACCATTTTGGGAGTGAGTGTCTAATATGTTATTGATTTTTTTTATTTTGCAGGCGTCATATATCGCAGGTGAGGTAAAGTGCTAAAGAGATTATTCGAATTTTCGGAAAGTCTTGAGTCATCGAACACATAAAATAGCTCTTTCTTTGCTTTTTCTGCCTCATAGCAATCTGTCCAGAGACAATTGCCGGAATACTGAAATGTTACTCAATTTTAATTCGTGCTTAAATTTATCGTGCCATCTCTGTCATTTTACTAAGAATTTGTAGAGACAGAACTATACTTAAGCACGACTTAAAATTGAGTAACGTTTCAGTATTCGGGCAAATAACACATGCCTCTGTTTTGGTCTGCGACTTATTATAGGCGTAAAGCGCTCCTACTGGGTGGTTAATTCCATCTGGGAGCTGTCTCTTTCAAGTTGATAATCTTATAGGTAAGCTCCGAATTCGTTTCGGTTCAGTCTTAAGCGGTGCAATCTGCCCTCATCATTCAAAGCCCGTGCTAGTTCATTACAGTGTTTCTTGAGTCTGTTCTGGTAATTCAGGCTCAGGGGGCTTACTCTTGAATCCAATTCCGATCGATCGACATTGGTATTGTGAAATTTCGTACTCTTGAGTTTCAACACTAGCGCGCATTGCATTCGTATTGCGTGGATATTGAATGAACTAAATGGTATTGAGTTTGGCTTTACATTCGGTACTCTGAATACTATTTTAACATCTACGATTGGGGTTGTATATCTAAAGTTGAGTTGTTATTGATATTTTATTGGATTGAAATTGCATTGACTTTGAGATTGGTTTCAAGAGTAAGCACTCTGGTTAGAGACCTCATGTTAACAGTTTTTAGCTACAGATCTAAGCACATGTATTTGATACTATAAAGGTACATCGAGGCACCCTGAACATAGCTATAAAATAGCTGGTGAGAAGTTTGTTGCTTTTAATGCGTATAAATAAAATTTCTGTGCATATTGTGCTGATAATGTGCATTGAAGTTCTGCCTTAAGTTTGAATTTATCTCTATTTCCTGAATGGTATAACCTAGTTGTCTTCAAGGCCCTAGTGAATAGGTTGCTTATGAGACGACGTGTTCCATCGTAGGTCGCATCATCGTTTACCACCAGTCGAGATAGTTCTTAAACGTCAGCCCGTCAAATATTTATAAAAAAAAAAATCACTGTCTAATAATATTTCTATGACCATCAATTAGGTAAATGAGTAATAATTTAGCGTGTATACGATGTCATTACTTATTCCCTATAGTCTAGTCTTAGCCTAGTTCTAGGTCATATAGGTATGTGGAGGTAGGTCAGGGCAAATAATCGGGTTAACATAACCATGAAAGTTCTATAGACCATAAATATTCATGTAAATGTAAAACCTGCTTTCAAACAACTCAAAAGCCATTAACCAAATACTTCAATTAAAACAAAAAGAACAACCATCGACAATGATTGACATTTATCATACCTGTCATCTGTCAAACATTTCAAATTTTATACGTTAAAAAATGCTTTATTTTTGTGATAATTCTAAAGAAAAATGCTGGAGAAGTGTAGTATTTATGTTTAATAATATTACCTGTCCATTTTGGTTAAGTTTTAAGTATCTCGTTGCACTAAATAATTCACTAATCACATGCAATTGGTTCATAATACTTCGATAAAATTTGTTTTTTGTTGACAACGTACACTGACAATTTTGACATGAATGCTAAATGACAAGAATAATCGTCATACCGAAACCTTGACGTTGTTCAATGTCTAAAAGGATAGGCAGAGTGTCACTCGTTTTTGTAGCTAATTTTATTACATCTTAGGAATATTATTATAGCAGAGAATTTTGTAAATCTAATTAGATCACGGCTTTTAAGCCCTGAACAATTTTCTTTTTCTATTAAACTCCACTGTTGGTACATTGATTGGGAACCGGTTATTTGCGAACACGCGACGCATTCGATTCCTGCAGATATGTGTATAATTTATCAGTAGGCTGCGCGACATCATGAGGAAGAGTCCCTCTGTAACTTGAAACTAGTAGAGCTATTCTCAATATATTTACATGAGTTATTCGTAATTTTTAATTAATTCAGTATGTCTCACGATAGTTATTATAAAAACAGTATAATTGGTGTTGTTGATGAGACACTCACTACAAAGAAGATCATAGCAATAGGGCAACATCTTTTTCAACACTGACTGATTAGCAATGACAATCAAATTAAATATTAATCAACTGAGAAGTGAGTACACACTACCGAAGCTTTAAAATAATGATCAGAATCAATTCGTTCTGGGCGAAAATCGGCCAGGATTATTATCATCTATCTATGCATCTTTTTCGAAAACAAAATTTATACATACTAACCTTGATCTGGCGGACCTCCCCAGACTGGTCGATCTTCACTATGAGCACACCAGACCGGTAGTCTGACGTCACCGTCGCACTCTCCCATACCTTCTCTGGGTGCTCCACCCATATTCGGGCACCCTAAAACAAAGATACGGCATTTTAGAAACTGATAAAGTAACAATAAATTAAGTTCATCCACCATCCCGACTGCTCCTGGTGATAAAAGTCGATCGAGAGACCACATATTTGACAGCTATATTATAAAGCTGAAGAGTTTGTTGTTTTGTTTGTTTGTTTGAACGCGCTAATCTCCGAAACTACTGGTCCGATTTGAAAAATTCTTTCTATGTTGGATAGCCCATTTATCGAGGAAGGCTATAGGCTATAAAATATCACGCTACGATTAATAGGCGCCAAGCAGAGCGAGTGAAACCGCGCGGAAGTAGCTAGTCTCTGATAAAACTGAACTATGATCTCCAACATGCCAGCTATGGAGATTCCTAGTCCAACAATGGCCCGTCAAAAGCTATTGATGTCCAGGATGTAACATGGTCACATGGTTATATGGTCAGCAACGCACTTTTCATTTTTTTATAGGATAAATCGATAATGGAGCAGGCAGATTACCTGATGGTAAGCAATCGGCGTCGCCCATGGACACCTGGAAAACCAGAACCTTTATGGATTAGGGATTTGAGGATTGTTGGAGGTTCAGAGATTGGGAAAGTGGGGAGGGTTAACTGGGCCTCCGGTGACCTCACTCACACGACGAAACACAACGCAAGCGTTGTTTCACGTCAGTATTCTGTGAGGCCGTGGTATCACTCCGGTCGAGCCGGCACATTCGTGACGAAGCATGGCAAACCCACTTACGTCAAATAGTTTCTCTATTTTGTTTAGTCTAAATAATAATAAAATGCTACTTAGATTTAGATAAAACATGATTTAGGAGCGGAGACTTGCTTAACTTTTACATAATGTACAACAAAATGACATCATTCGACATTAATTTAAAATCAATGTGTCTTCGAAGTTTTTGGTCCCGTAAAACCTGATAAACATTATATATATAAGCATGTCCAGTCCTCGTCGCGTTTGCACGTCTAAACACTAAATAGATTTTTATGTGATTTTCGGTACTGAATACTGATTTTTGAAGAAGCTACTTGTATTAGTCAAAAAGGCATATGAAGTGGTGGGTGATAAAAATCTATTTTGAACCTAAGACTGTATTAATAACAAAGAAATGTTGACCTTCATTTAAATGATGACGTCATAAAATGATAATGGACGAATGCATTAATACAACACAACAAACTTAGTTTGTTTTTTAGATATTTTTAAGAGGAATGACATCATTCATTAGATCAATACATATTATTTGAGGAAAGGTTACAGACCCATTTCAAAAAAATTTGGTAAATAAATAAAATTATCTCTGTCTTGATTTTTTGTATGGCATAAGCCGGTAAAGGAACAGACGGATCACCTGATAAGCAATCGGCGTCGCCCATGGACACCTGGAACACCAGAGGCGTTACACGTGCGTTACCGGCCTTTTAGGGATTAGGAGTTTGAGAATCGTTAGGGATTCAGGAATTGGGGAGATTGGGGAAGGGGAGGTTAATTGGGCCTCCGATAACCTCACTCACACGATGAAACACAACGCGAGCGTTGCTTCACGTCGGTTTTCTGTGAGGCCGTGGTATCACTCCGGTCGAGCCGGCCCATTCGTGACGAAGCATGGCTCTCCCACTCTTGATGGAGCAAACGTTTAGATTTGTTGGTCATTTCGCCTCGTTTTAAGTTCTTACGATCTAGATAGGACGAGGCTGCGGATGACCTTACGTGTTACCAGAATCTGGGCTCAAAGCAGTAGTAGGAGTTTTTAGTCAGTAAGAATTTGACACTCTCTCTTGAGGCGGGAGAAATCATTTGATGATTCACCTCCTTTAAAAAAGGACCTATTGAAAAGGACGACTCTATTGCTACATACAATCTGTTCCAGTCTTCATACTAGGTAGATTGATAAATTGCCCAAGCCAATTGGAGAATTAATCCTGAGGCCCTCAGGTTCGATGGGCGCGCTTGTAACTTGACGATTCGACCAATAACAAAACATGCGAAAATAATAAATATTAGGCACAAAAAAGCTATGAAGATTTTTTATGGAATAGGAATCAAACGAGGATAACTTTTTGGTATTCGAGTACTCGAGTAAAGCCATTTTGAGTAAGTATTAGTGATATGTTTTAATAATAACTATCGTGAGGATACATACTAAATTAACTAAAATTCGCGAGCATACTAATTTAACTCGTCGAGTACCGGTTTTGTAGACACAATTATAGAACAATAGGTTGCGGTCACCGGTGACCGCTTGGTGTTTGACAGTTTAAATAAGAATTTTTTAAAAAGTAGACTGCGCGACATCGCCGCGACCGCGCAAGCCCTCTGTGGTTCGAAACTAGTAGAGCTTTTCCCAGTATATTCACGTGAGTAACCCGCGATTTTTAGTTAACTAAGTATTAATAATACATTAAACCACTACTAATCTCCTAGCAAACAAGATTGAGAGTAGGTCATCTCATTCTTAATTCTTATCGTTTTATTCGAATATAATTCATTACTAAAAAACATTAAACAAATAAATGTTGCGTAACTTATTGGTTGATTAATTCAAATTGGAATTTAAATAACTGGATTCACCTTTATACATATCTTCCTTAAAAGGTTCGATACAAAATGCGTAGGTACTTAAAGTTCTTTTTTGTATCATCATTTCCTATAACCCTATTAACATATTATGAATTAATTAATATCAAATTGAATAGTTTTATTTGAAGTAATTTGAACTATGAATCTTAATACGTTATAATAGTGAATGTAGTGTATAATAGAGCGCGTTAATCTCAGGAACTACTGGACCGATTTCAATAATTCGTTTTGTGTTGGATAGTCAATTTATCGAGGAAGGCTATGACTATGAGCTATATAACATCACGCTACGATCAATAGGAGCTGAGCAGAGCGTGTGAAACCGCGCGGAAGTAGCTAGTAGTGTATAAAGCTGAAAAGTTTGTTTGTTTGAGCGCGCTAATCTCAGGAACTACTGGACCGATTTGAATAATTCTTTTTGTGTTGTATAGTTCATTTATCGAGGAAGGCTATAAGGCTATAAAATATCCCGCTATGACGAATAAGAGCCGAGCAAAGCGGGTGAAGCTCCTTGAAAGTAGCTAGGTAATTAATATAGGTCCCTGTTGAATATCATCCCCTAAATTTGTTCATACAAAATTAGTCTCTAAACATCGGAGATAAGGTCTATAATATAGTTAGTGGAAAGCGAACACCGGTGACCGGTTGGGGATACATGGTAGATTTTTTATGAGAAAAATCTTATCGTTACTGGTACTGGACTTGGACTTGGAGACAAAGCTCTTGAAGCAGGAGTAGGAACGGGGTTGTGTTTAGTCAGTGAGAGTATGACACTCTTTCGCCTCACCCGGGAGGGAGAAGGCATTTTGTTTGTGTAAAAATCTCTAAAGTTACATTTTAATCAATTTTTTTTTACATTTTTATTTAGTTCTTATTATTATTATTTTAGTTTCGTATTTGAAAGGTACAGGTTATGAGCCTACAAGGTACCTAAACAAACCAAGAGGCCCGTAATGTGTTACATATTTAAATATCCACAGCATTTTGTAACAAGGTCGTCATAGAAGCAGGTTTTTTTATATTAGGTATATCAGAAGTATTTCACAAACAATATTTGCTTGGGTTGCATAAATTAATTAAGAACTTGTCTTTTCGTATGTAGGTCTCATTTCTTACCTACCGATTTTTGCATGAACTCTTCCGCGCAACAAAAAAAATGAATATTTATTTTGCATTTTTTTTTTAAATTCCTTAGGCATTGTGGTGATGGAATTCGTGATTGTTCCCGCAAGGGCTGCGGACGGACAAGCGGGTAACCTTTAAATATATAATCTGTAATGCCCACACCTGCCGTAACACATGACGCTGGCAGAATAGTCAACTACTAAATAGTGGAGACTCAATTGCCATAGAAGAAAAAAATAAAATAAAGTAATTTGCATTTTTATTCTACATGTAGACAAGCACTAAGTGGCATTTGGCTACAGCAAAGAGTATAATAAGTATAGGGGGGCTACAGCTGCAGGAGTGAAAATGAGGTGGTGTTTAGGCAGTCAGGCCCAGTCCCCAAGCGGTCACCGGTGACATTCTCCACTTACTCCATTACAGACCTTATTTCCGATGCTTAGAGACTACTTTTGTATGAACAAATCTTGTGGATTTCCCTTTTACAATTGTATAGTTGCTTACTACTTAACAATGTCCAAACATATATATATGATGACATCATTATGTATACTCTGTATCATTGTACAACGATTTAAAAAGAATGTCTATTTTTGTCATATTATTATTATAATCTTCACAAAATAGGGACCGAATGGACACCTTGGTTTTTGTTTACAATTGTGTCAAATATTATCTTCAAGAGTTGTGCAACTAAAATAATATTTGACAAAAACAAGTCATATTTAACTTTTAATAAATATAGTATGCAGGAAAATCTAAATAAATAAACATCATGACTACATAACATAGATATTTATAGAAAATAAATATTTAAAAAAATATTCCATGTCACTCTTAGACCTTTTTTTATGGGTCAAGCCCGCGACAACCTCTCAAAACAGCTGCAACTCCTGTAAGCCAGGATTTACAGTAGATACAACCATGAAAACACCGGAAAACTAAAGTCCGCGCGTCTCAGAGACATGAATACATCTTAGACCTGAAGAAGTAAATATAATAAATGCCTACAATTTTATTCTAGAACGACAGTAAGCAGCAGTGGAAGACTGAACAGGTTACTGGGCCTCTGGCTCAAAGAGCAGGACTTGGAACGGTGTGGTTTTTAGTCAGTAAGATTCATCATTGGATGATTTCTCAAAAATAAAAAGGATGATAAAAACGGCTACTCTAAGCCTTGATTTGATTAATTATCTAATTAAAACAATTAGCAGTATAGTAGCAAATGCTACAGATAACAAAGTAAACCTACTTACTTTATATATATATATATAAAAGTAACACCCACTCTTTGCCTGTTATGTTATGAAAGCTTGACAATATTGTAATGTAGGCTACTAAAATAGCATTCTGGCGAGCGGGAGCATGGTCCAAGCTACCGGTGGTTAGGGCTCCAGAGACAGAAACCTCCTCACAATGCGCGCCGTTTCAAGGAGAACTGCCTTCTGTATCAGGCCCTTGACCCAACTGCCTAACGCTAGCTTATTAATATTATTATTATGGGTACTAAGTTGCAGGTAGGTTAACTTAAATGTAAGTCTAATAAGTGTTCTTTTTGTATTCAATAATCGGGGTGACGTTTTCTATTAAGATAAAATCCTGTAAATAAATAAAGATAAAAAAAAAAGCTTGACAATAGGAATTTTTTTTTATTGTTGACTGACTATGGATTTTTATGGTTGTTCTTCTCCATTTGAAACTTGAATTTGGAATGAGCATGTAATGTAGCTTCACTGAGAATTCAATATTGAAATTGCCTAATTCCTCTATACTTATTGTACTCTTTGCTGCCTAATTAGCTATTAAACTGTCAAACACCAAGCGGTCACCGGTGACTGCAACCTATTGTTCTATAATTGTGTCTACAAAACCGGTACTCGACGAGTTAATTGAAACATTGAAACACGATAAAGACACAATAGGTACAGTAAAATGGGTAGAACACTAAGTTTTTTTTTAAAAGTAAACTATACCTGCCTGGCCCAGGTATCGAACCCAAGGCCCCTTGCCTGGCAGACATACTTGCGACGACTCGGCCAATAAGGCAGTATGATGCTGTTTTTAATATTGAGTTTATTTCTTATTGATTTTAACTTCAATCATTTCATATCTATACTGACAAAATATTTACAAACAACTTCAAAAAGATTGGTAACAAAATAACACCCACTTATAAAGAATCAGCACAAAATATTATTCCTATCAAGATATATAAGATAATAATACATGCATCAAGAACTAGATAAGTTAATTTATTTTAAGATATTAAGTGTAAGATAACAGTCTTATTTAATTTATACAATTTTTTAAACCAACATGTTACAATAGAGTGCACGCTTAAACACTGCGAAAGAATCATTTAAATAATTTATGAGCTTGAATATATCTCAGTAATCTAGATAGTAAAAGTGATTATGTCATTATACAGTTCCAACAAGAATGTTATTGGAACCCATTACTGATTTCTGATCATCGAAAAATGATTCCATAAAAATGAATGAAAGAATAGTCAATCAATGTTGTGTTTGTTTAATGTTTTTGAAAATGGAACAGTAGGGCGAACTGCAGCGACATACAGCCTGACGTCATCACGGAACTACAGATATTCCTTAACACGCGAAATATAAAAAAAAATATTGCAATATTTCACTCTAACATTAAATGAATTGGAATGACGTCCACTTCAACAAACGAAGAAGGTCAAACATTATAAACACTCACCAATTACGATTATATTTAATTAAAATCTTTAATTAATACGTACTCAATCAAAGTTGGCATTATGAGTTACGATACAAACAATAGATTTTAATTATCTTTGAGTTCTGAATTCAAAAATAAGGCTTCCGAAATACAAAATATATTTCACAATAAAATATTACCTTTGTGTATAGCTCCTTCGTAGTCATCTTCAACTATTATAATTATTTTAACTGAACAAATGAATAAATTATAAATATTATTTCACCACGAGTTGAGAACTTAAATAATACATTTTATTTTAGTTAAATTTTAAAGTAAGGTAGATTCGAAATGCGATTTTCCGAATGCGAAACGTCACTACAATGTTATTGACATTTTATTTTCAGTGTTATCAGTTTTTTATCAATATCACAAAATAAAATTATTGCACGGAACTGTTTGATTTCTCACTGTGAAAGTTTTTCATGTTTTCTACACGGAAATGATTCTTATTGGAATCTAATTGCCACACAAAAACATATGACAACAATACAAATCGAAAGTTACGCTTATCTATAAAGTTCCCACGGTTGGGGCTGCCATGATAAAATATACGGATTGAGGACACATTTACGCTTCATTACACGCAGACTTAGAAATGCGTTAATCGATTTTTAATAACTTTGGTTTCTGAATGAGTTCTTATTCCAATTAGTCTAAGTAGTTACGTCGTCAATTAGATTTATTATTTTTCCACACCTATCGTGTTAAGTATTTAGGTCGTATAATAATTTATATAACTGGCGTATGTAAAAGGGAAATGCTCGCCAAATCTTTGAATTTTGATCTTGGTCGTTTCTATCAGTAAATATTGCAGTTTGTGTAGTACCTAATTTCCTTAACAAATAAAACCGTAAAGTACTTATTTGATAAAATCTACGGCAGGTTCGTATACTTCTGTGTGAAAAGTTTACATTCTCATAATGAGAAATTGGCGTGTAGATCGCAAATATGACTACAACACAGGAGATTCTTCAGTCGAAGAAAATATTGTACTAGCAAGATTTTTGTCTGTACTGATGCTACTGCTGACCTTCCTACCTGTGAGACTACAACTAGGGGAGTTTGCTATAATCTCTACAATTGGCAGGCCGGTTCGAGCTATGTACGGCTACTGTTTTCGACATGTAAAGATAAATGTTACTATTATAGAGCGCTGCTGCTCAGTTTATACAAAATGTGTAGACTCTGTCTAGGCCCTTAGGAATAGGGCTAGTGATGTATGTACACTACCGTTCATAAGTTTGGAACCAGTTCTGATTTTGAACAATACATAATTGGGTACATACATGCCAAATAGTCAAATTCAATACTTTTTTCGAACTGTCAAACGAGATCATCAAATAATATAACTATTTCGTAAAAAAACCTAAAATTAAATATTATAAATCAAATAATAAAAGTGTGATTGTTTTGTATTATTTTATTGTTTTGAATAAGAAGTTTTGATTAAGGAAAGTACCCAATTATTTCGATCTTTATGATCACTGTCGACACTGTCCTTATCGTCACCACACAGCTTGGACTTTTTGCGGTCTCTCTCCTTTTTGCGATCAACAATGTGCAGCGCATTTGAAGTAGGAAAGGTCACTTCAAGTTTATAAAAAAAAAATCTTGGATTTCTAGCATTTATTCTACATTTTAAGTCATACAGTTTTCCAGCCTTTAAGATATACAATTAAATTAAAAAATATTTAAAAGAAAGCATTGATGTTGCTATGCTCGTTACAAAAAGTCCCTACAAATTAATACAATATTATGCCATAATCCACAAGTCAAATGCTATTGTCGTAAACAGTTATATGCTTCTCTTATATGTTAATTCACTTGTTTTCAGGAGATGGGAACCACGCCTGGCAAGCCTCAGTGGCGATCTCGCACAGAGCCGTGAAGGTCTTGCCGCGTTGGTCGTATTCTGAAAAAATAAGAGTATTTGAGTAAGAAATGTATTCAAATACCTACTATAGTAAAACGGTGATATAGAGCTGAAGAACCAAGAACTCAAGTACACTTCAAAACTAAACAAGCAGATGTTCAACAAATGATTGGTGGAGCTAAATGACGATCAATCTTGGTCGAATGCAAGATATAGGTAGTTGGGCATAGATCCGCAAACTTGATGTCAGCTAGACTGGCTCAGAAAAATGGTAATATATATTGTTGGTTACCATGAAGGTTGACGTAATTGAAATGGATCTAAAAGGATTTGGAAAGAGCCTTTTTAAGCAGAGAGACAACATTGGTTAAAAGTCTTAGAATACTCTCAATATTGTATTCTTTTATAGCTGTAAGTTTGATACATACCAGTAGGTCCCCTCTTGCCGAACATGATGCCGTTCATGGGTGCATTCTTGTAGTTGGCTTCGCTGACTTCAGCCAGGGAGAGAAGGACAGCCACCACGCAGACGACGCCAATGGTGTAACGCATCATGTCTCCGGACATCTGAGAAAAAATATAGATTAAGTTAGTTAACTTATTGTAACGCCGGTAATCCCTTTTCTAAACAATTGTGTCTGTGACTGTATGACTATGAAACATAAATTAAACTTCATTTTGAAATTGGTCTACCCTATTTATTTCTGAATGAAAGCTCCAACCATGACTGCTAATTTTTTTTTCATAGGGGCCAGTAAGAATCAGCGTATCAAAACAGTGTAATTAAAATTAGATCCAAAGACTAAATCGTAAAGATCATCAACAATGATAACAAATTGTAGAAGAATCACCACTAATATTATAAAGAATCACCAACCACAAAAGAAAAATTACCTTTAGTTTAGTATGATTTTTCTTTGCTGTTAACACCGAAGGGGTTGAATGTCAACTGATGCTGAAGTGTGATATTCCCGCCAATTTATACTCTGAGAGGAAATATGGCGGCTATCCACCCAATTATTGGATTACTGGATACTGACCGCATATTGACAGTCCCCGAGTGATCCCAGGAGATTATAACTTCGTTAGTGCATAAGATTAGTAGCTGGAATTGAGCGGAGTGGTACGCCATCATAGTTTCGTTATACATACACAGATTGTGAGATGAGATGGGAATTTCTAATGAAGTCGGTCTCATAAGATTTTGTTAGAAAGCTTTTGTTGTACGAATCTTTTCTTAGAAATTGTGTGATGCGAAAGCTTTAATGTTTTTGAATTTATAGTAACTGCACTGCATGATTGGCACAACCGTCAAATGACTGTGCCAATGCCCAATGTGCAAATCGAACGTGCAACCTGCATTATTACAAGTGAGATGATAGTATAATGTAGCACGATTCTTGCAATCTTACTACCTTAATCAAAAATATCTAAATCGATCTCGGTATTTATGTTAAATCAGCTTCAGTCATAAAGAAGTTATTTAGATTGAGATCAGTCAGACTAATCTTTATGATGTCAATTCGAACTCTCGAAGTGAGCTCGATCGCGATCCGCTATATCATTGGTTGTGAGAATAATCTCGACCAATGATGGACGATAATGCAATCGAGCAGAATATACAGAATTGCTTAGCAGTTCATCATCATCATCAACAGCCTATAAATGTTCACTGCTGAGCAAAGCCTCTTCTCACACGGAGAACATTTGAGCATTAATCACCACGCTTGCTCAATGCGCGTTGGCGACTTCAAACTTATAATTAGAAATTTTAAGCCCAGGTTTCGTCACTATGTTTTCCTTCACCGTTTGTCAGTGGTGTCTATATAATCTTAGAAAGTACTAACTATTAGAAAATACTAACGTGTTAACATACATTATTAAGTCGAGCAAGCACTGTCCCAAAAGTAGCTGAACAACACAAGCGTCAAAAGTATATTAACACACGGCAACATTAAAAATATACTTTGTTAACCTAATTTTGTCTTTATTGCTGTTTAGTGACTTTTGATATAACAATATCAGCAGTTTCTATATTTAGTAGTAGTTAGTTTAGTCAGGTGAAATTAGCTGTTTAGTGACTTTGATACAATGCTGTTCAGCGACATTTGGATTGATGGTGTACAGCGACTTCTGGAATACTAGTGCACATGTACTTTTGAAATACTCGTGTTTAACGATTTTTGTAAATTTCTGGTGTACAGGCTATTTTGTTTCCTAGTTGCGACTATAACTTGTGGCATTTTATTGTGAATAGGTGTTTTGTTATGTTGATTCTGTTCATTGACTTTTTGTACTGACTGTACCTACATGTAGCCTAGCAGTTACTATATTTTAATTCACTCGTTATAGAGTCTATCATCGTGTCTTAATATTACGCCTGATAACCCATAATAAGTTGCCAGAAGTGTGCTTAAGTGTGGGAGGGCCATGCTTCAGCACGAATGGGCCGGCACAACCGGAGCGATACCACGGCCGAGCTGAAAACCGACGTGAAAAAACGCTAGCGTTGTGTTTCATCGTGTGAGTGAGTTTATCGGAGGCCCAATTACCCCCTCCGCAGTCACCCCAATCCCCGAATCCCCCACAATCCCCAAATTCCCAATTTCCAAAGGGCCTGTAAGTCTGTAACGCACTTGTAATGCCTGTGGTGTTTCAGGTGTCCATTGGCGGATCCGATTGCTTACCATCACGTGATCCGTCTGTGAAAATGTGACGTCCAATCCACCTGCTAAATCTAATCCACTTGTTGCGGAGGTTCATAGTCCTATCTTTGGTCCTATACTATACTGCCACTGACTAATTCACCGTTTTTCGGCGCCACAACAGTAGTTTAATTTGAGAGCATAGAAATTGCTTTTCAAAACCATCAGGCGGTTTGCAAAGTAACAAGAAAAACAAATTACGATCGAATAACTCAATCAATCTTAAGATTAACAGACTATAGACTGAATTTATCAAACAATAATTTAACCTACTCTTCTAATATGATCAATTTTTCATTATTTTCCTATTAACTCTGTCTGGGCACAAAATTGCAGTGTATTGGTTAGGGATTCGATTAGTTGCTGGTCCCTGTATAAAAGGGGACTGAAAGACGTCAAATGCATCAGTTGCCTTCTGATCCTTCGATCTAATACTTCTTCAGATTTCATTAACCAAGTAAGTGATTGAGAAGTCTGTTAAAGTAACTGAGAGTTCTTTTAAGTACCCAAAAAGAGATTGTAGCTTTACGTTTGTCCTGTTTTCGAGTAAAAGTCGATGACTTGAGTAAATCAATGACACTATCCAAACTGAGTGCCGCGGAGAACCTAACGGGTTACCGGGGCTCCGGATCGAAGTGCATAAGTAGGGACGGGATGGTTTTTAGTCAGTATGAGCCTGACACTCCCTCCCGCCTCACCCAGGTGGGAGAAGTCATTCGATGATTTTCCTCCCTTACATAAAAAACAGATCCAAACTGTACCCATCAAAAATGAACTTCGAAACATCTTACTACTTATTCCATTGAATGTCATCGTCCTAACATAGTTTAATTATTTGTAACTTTTTTCTGTACCAGCAATACAGCTGTAACTCTTTTGCTGCGAGTATAAAATGGGTGGCGCTGATCACTTACCATCAGGAGACTTATCCGAGTACTCGTTTCCTAAGAAAAATCTATTCATCTTATTAAAAATGTTTTTTCCAGCTCTCTCCAAAAATGCGTTTCATCCTGGCTCTGTGCTTCCTCGCCATCATCCTATGCATCCACAATGCTGATGCTGCTACATACAGGAAACCGCCTTTCAATGGCTCCATTTTTGGCAAGAGGGGTGTTGTTGGTAAGTCAAGAATCTTTAACTGTATAAACTGTATAATAGAATAACCTGAACATCTTATTTTCAGTACAATAGGTAGATTATTTTAAATCATTAGACACGTATTTTTATTTTCTTACAGAAACGAATACTTTCGACGATATATTGATTTGAAATGTCGCGTGACGTCACTTCTATGTACACTTTATACGTAGAAATAGCGTTTTAGCCCCCACTCCTAAACTTTGATTCGTTTTATCCACAGACTTACTATAATACTAAATCTATGGTTTTATCTAAGTATTGTTTTATTATACAACAAAATAAAAAAAAAACTTGTCTAATATTTTTTCATCACGTACCTAACTTACAGACTAATTGCATTTGTAATTTTCATACCCTGTCATCATCCCAATTAAACGGCTGTCAGTGCATTTGTAATCTCTATTTCGGTCTCGCGGGTCTCCGACATCCAAAGTCCTTAATCTAACCGCTCAACATCAGGCAATGCGTCTGCTCATTGGCCCCATATTCTATGAAAAAATTACAAAGTATTCTACTTATCCACAGACGTAGAAGACAAGGAGAACGTAATGTCACTTAGAAATGATTGAAACCAAAATGTCAGTGGTCGATTTATCTGTGCGTGTGCAAGACCATAATCTGTGAAGTTAATGAAGGGCCATATCACGCGACAGATGTCATTCGTGTCAATGTGTGTGTATTCTGCGTGTAAGCCTATAGTAGTTAGGTGCCACAGTCGTTGTTTCAAGAGACTACGTCCGCCTTTGTTAACGTTCTTGTATTTGTTCAGCAAAATAAAAAAGTATGAAACCGAAACGTACACTCATTACTATATTATTCAACACCAATTTAGTTATATAAGGGGCGTATTGGGTGTGATGATTAATAATTAAAATACTTCGTTTCAAAACCTTTTTTCTTAATTGCAGAGTACGATTCTACCGGCAGAGCTTTATCGGCGTTGTGCGAGATTGCCGCTGAAACTTGCCAGGCGTGGTACCAAACCCTCGATAGTTAAATAATTAATTTTAAAATTCTAAATATGCTTCATGTTATGTACTATTCTACACTAAGCCTTTTATATTGTGATAATTATGTAATGGACAACTCATGTAACCTTAAATTATCATAATAAAGATTCATAATTCATTTACATTGTTTTCGTTTTGTAGGTACCTTACCAAGTTACCAATATTTAACTGAACAAATCTTCTGAAAAGTGGATGCAAAAGCATAATACACTTATATTTACATCTTTAGAGAGTAACCGGCCTCAAATATAACGCAACTACGCAACGCACTATCGTAACTCTGCGTATAGGTACTCAAAGAGCAAGTAAACATCTCACAACTTGGGTGTCCAGTAGCTAAATTGCTTTAGGGACCCTGAGATTTCATCGTGTGTACGCGGATTACGACTAATGGTCTTCCAAACTAAGTGCGGTTATGGGATACTTAATATTCATAATTGATCTTAATGATTTTCAAATTGAGTATACATTTACTTTGACTTCATTTTCCGAAAAGAAAACTATTCAATCTGTTCAATATTCTAAGAGGAGATACCAAAAAGAGATCCCTACCCGGTCTGCCTTACTAGCTAGATGATAGTATAGTATACTAAATATCTTAAGAATATATCTAACTTCATTATAAAAGTACTGGTATCTATTAGTAAGTATAACCGAAAAAAAAAAATTTATTTATAGCGTAAGTCCAGTGACAAAAGATTCATGAAACGGAATGTTTTATAGAAGTACGTTCTAAATTACTAAACGTCACAAAACTGACAGGCCACGATGTATTCGATTCTGCGGTTTATTTACGTCAAACAATAGCGCAATCTTATTGGTCTAAGAGGTTCCAATTACGCATTGACCAATAGCAATTTTCTGATTAGACCACGTTTTCTCATAGAAAACAAATCTTAATCTGTCTAATGGCTGCTACATTTTTGCGATTTACGTGTGTGGCAAATTAAATTTTCTTTGCTAAATTATTATTCGGAAGATATTAACTGTGTGTTAACCAAGTACGTAACGTGGGGTTTTCTGATAGTTCAGAGAAAACATTTCGTCTTGTAGAGAAGTTGACGTCTTATTCCGAAGTCCATTCTAAGGTAAATCTATGATTATTTTATTTGATTTTAAGGCGGATTTTGCATTAGATCCGTATTGTTCCGGCGCAGTAATAATGTAGACTAGTTACCGGTTCGTTTATTTATAAGTTGGAACTCGTGTCACAAGAAATACGTCATGTTTTAATTGTTTCTAAGTGGTAACTTAAAAGGTATGATTATCAGTTTTTTGTCAACAATAGGACGTAATAGACGAGCTGACCGTTTATCTAGAACTAGTAAAATTGTCGTCAAGTAATTGGTGTAGTTGGGATATTGAGAATAAACCAAATTCTATAGTATGTTATTTGCGAACTTCTTATCAGGAAATATTCGCGCATGTAATCTTGATTTTTCGTGTTAATTCATTACGCAAATATACATGTACATAGCTCTGTACCTACATTTAGAGTTTTGATTTTTCTTCCACAATGCATTTTATACAAGGAATACACATATTTTATCTTGTTTGTCATTCTATAAATAGAATTAATGAGAGAAAGATATTTTATGTTTATAAAACTCTGTGAAGTATTGACTATGGAGTTTTACTCTACAATGCTGACCATTGATAAAACTTAAATATAGACATTTTATCATTATCTTTATTGGTTGTGAAATAAAAAATTATTTTGCTTAAGTTTTTGCATCTCAATAGTTCAGATTCTTATTTAAATCTTTTTATAGATGTAACTTTGTTTATTTACTTACTTGTTGCGGGACAAAGGTCAGCCCTCATATTTTTTGGTTTCTTATTCATATCACATAACACTACATTATTTTTTTAATTCTCATGCGGCAAAGCGAAGTTCTCTTATTTTCTTTACAAGTTCTAGACTACTAATTTACGCGATTTTAATGTTTCAAAAAAAAATTGTCACAAAAATATTATAATAGTCAAAGAAAAGAAATTTCGATCTAAAACAAAAATATCTTCAGTTGTCTCAAAATCAATGAAATAAGTTATTGAAAACTTTACGGTGCATGTTTCGTAAACATAGTGTTTTATTTTTTCATGAATTTGAGTTGAAATACAGTGTGTGTGTTATGAATAGTGTTGTTCTTTGTTTATTTTCAGTATTTACTGAAGAATATCAAGATTGAAGATACAAGAAAATAATACCATTTAAATAAATACGTTAAATACGAAGCATGAGAAACCTTTGAACTAAAACGCTGGACTTCCATAAAAGAAAATAAATTTCCAAAAGTCTGATATGACAGAGGTAAAAGAACCTCCAACAAAAAAGGCGAAAATGGCAGAAACAACTACATTAGAAAATTTTATAGAAAATATCAAGAATTCAAAAAAGAACCTCATGGCAATCCTAAGCGATGAATTCACTAAACCAACACAATTTACACAAGTTTACGTTGGCACCGTAAACAATGTCCAAGAGTTATCAAAGATTATAACCACTTTGAATGATAAAATGCCTCTTAAAGAACTCCAACATCTCAAAAGAGCCCGCAAAAATGAAGTAATTTTATGCTCTGTACAATATTTGAATACCCAACCTCAAAACTCAATTCAAGAGTATATTGAAGAAAATGTATATGAATTAAAGGACGCTTTTAAGTATTTCAAAGTAACTGGGTTGCCTGCGATGCCACCGAAACTGAAAAAACAACAACAAGAATTCAGTAGAGTGTGGTCCTGTAATTTTCATCCAAATGCATACTTAGAAAAATTGTATGGAGACCAATTCTTTTCAATAAATGAACTTATGGAACATCGGTGTTACATGGCCATTGCGTTTGAAATAGCAAATTATTATTTAAGTAAATTGAAAAGCAATTTATTAGTGTCAGATGTTTCTGAGAGCAGTCTCAATGCTACCGTTGTAGTGGATCCAACGATAAAATCAATAGTAGCAATTTCCTACGATAATAGAGAAAACCATCCAACCCAACATTCAGCCATGCTAGCCATAGATAATGTAGCGAAAACTCAAAATGGCGGTGCGTGGAACACAGCTGATAAATCGGCAATAGACAATGAGTTACAGAGTCACATTCAAAAAAAGTTTGTAAACGTCAAATTTGGCGCCAGAAATTATTTGACGAAGGAGGTTTTGGATGAACAGAAGAAAAATGCTTCGGAAAGTCCATATTTATGTACTGGATATTATATTTATTTGATAAGGGAGCCATGTGTAATGTGTTCTATGGGTTTAGTGCATGCTAGGGCTAACAGGGTATTTTTCTGCTTCAATAATAACCTCAAAGGAGCCCTAAGTTCAAAAACTAAGTTACACTGTGTGCCATCATTAAATCATCATTTTGAAGTGTTTACAGATTTTTTATAGATAATTATTTGATGTAAGTAGACATTTTTATTTTTGTAATTTGTTTTTAATGAATGGACTTGATTAATAAAGTTTGTGTATATTTTGAACTTTTGGTTTTATTTAGTTAACAAATCGCAATTAAGAAAAAACAGAATGTTGGCAGTTGGCACTACCTAATTAAATTCTCTATTGAACAATGGACTTTAGTTCTCACTAGCACCGGCACACCTACCGGCAAATAAGTACTTACGCATTAGTTCTTTCTTCAAATCGTTGCACGAAATAAATTGCACGTAGGGAGGTTCACCCCTATTTAATGGAACTTATAACATAACTAAATATGGACGATTATTCGAATAATTCCCGAATAATCAGAAAAAATGCGTATCTTTAAAAATAACATAACATCACGCCTTTTATCCCCGAAGGGGTAGGCAGAGGTGCACATTACGGCACTTAATGCCATTATACAATGTAACACCCACTTTTCACTATTAATGTTACGAGTCCCATGTAATAGGGGGTGAGCCTATTGCCATATGCCGGGCACATTTCCAGACTCCGTGCTACTATTTTTAAAAAACCTAGTAATACTTTGCCCGACCCGGGAATCGAACCCGAGACCCCTTGCCCGGCTGTCGCACTTGCGACAACTAGGCCAAATGGAGCCCTTTAAAAATAACTGAGGAAAAATGAGTGCTAGATTTCACCAATGTACCTCTGTCTGCCGAAGCTTGACGTAACTACCTAATGTTATCTTATGTTTATCATTACCAAATAACATTACTGGAGAAAACTAGATCTAATCATTTCTACTCGTCGGGGAATAACAGGCTATCGTTATTTTGAGTTTGGACATAGAATCGTAAACAACAAAAATAATGATCTAACGCGATTTTTTATCTTCAGTATTGAAGTAATAGAGTATTATTTGATACTATTGATTATATTAGATAAAAGTAAAATTAACAGTTTGATACATTAATTTTATGTTTTTTGACTTATTCGCGTAATTATTTGACGAGGAACTTCAGTAGTTTGAAGCCATACCAGAGGCCACAGATATATTAAGGCTCATATTCATATGAACAGCATTCCGCACTATCACGGCAGAGGGCGCGCTTGGCCCGTACTGCAGACTCGAGTAGCGAGTACCTGAGTCGCGGCCCGCGGGTCGAATCACAGTCGAGAACACTAGTCAAGTTCCTAGGCGATTTACGTGAGTATCTAAGTCGAAAAACAATAATTATTATTAATGTCATACTACATTCGTCTGCTCGTTTACATCCTGTGCGTTCTGTAATTTTCGATTTTTGTGGTTCGAGATTATGTAAATTAGGAAAATGTCCAATCTACGGGAAAGGTTGATGGTGATTGAGTTTGTACTAAGCATACAGTCTTGGGCTCGTTTCAAAGCGATAGATAATATTAAGCGGCAATATCAAAGTGAGTAACATTTCATATTAATTACGGAATGCAGAAGGCATCACGGAGTGCCTGAAAACACCTTGATAATGTATTGATAAATTTAATTTTCAAGTATTATTGTGTAGATGTACCACTACTACACTTTAACTTACTCCTATATGCAAAACCTTCCGCGCGTGCCTCAAAGAACCATCAGACGACCACGAATGGGGCCCAATAGGGGTGATGCCGATACGGAACCCCGAGGGATTTAACGGGTTGCCGGGGCTCCGGTTCGAAGGGCAGGAGAAGAAACGGGGTGGTTTTTAGTCAGTAAGAGTCTGACACTCCCCCCGCTTCGCCCAGGCGGGAAAAGTCATTCGATGACTATATCCCCCTTAAAGAAATTATGCAAAAACTACCATGATAAAACACAACGTACTTTAATAGATAGACGCTAATAAAATAGGCCTGCCAATTTCAATCACCAAATACACCAATAACGAATTAACCTTGAGTGCTCTGCTAAAATTGACCGGACACTATGTACCGCGACAATACACACACACGCCACGTACATACATACAGAATGTACTAGTACATACATTGATTAAATCGCAAGGATGTGCGAAGAAGACGAATAAGGCATTTGTTTTTGGTGAGTTTTTGACTAGTTAGGAGATTGTTGATGACTGTGTTGTCGTATGCGTGTTTGATTAGCACGAGGTAGCTGATTTGGTTACCCTGTAATGTATTTAAGGGTTTTATGAATTTGTAACTTTAGTTGGTTCGAGTTGTGTAAACTCCTTTTTTTATGGAATAGGAGGCAAACGAGCAGACGTATCACCTGATGGGGTAAACGATCAGCGCCGTCCATGGGTGTCAATCAAAAAAACAGAGCAACACCAGAGGAGTCACAGGCGCGTTGCCCGCCTTTTAAAAAGGAGTACGCTCTTTTCTTGAAGGTTTGAAGGTCGTATCGGTTCGGAAATACCGCCGACGACTCCTTATAAAATCGAATCTCGCATGGAGTAACTATTTGTGTGATCCACAAACCTGGTACACGTTGCGGCAGCCAGTTACCCAGTCCCTGCGCCAATCGGGCATTTATGATGCCTGTTTTCTATCAAATATGTAGTCCCTTAGTTCACTTTTCGTTGTCAATTATCTTATGATTCCTTCTTATCAGGGCGTCAGTCACTTAAGATCTTAAAGTTAGTTGATTAGTTGGAATAGGTCTCTTCTGAAACTGCTTTAAAGTCAGATAATATGTGACAATAAAGGTCTAAAGTTACATGAATGAGTAACGTCTTAGATTATGTCAGCAGATCCATAACAGTGCAAGTGTGGAATTACATACGTAATAAACTACGTATCTACAATAATTGTATACTAATATTATAAAGAGGAAAGATTTGTACCTATTTTTGTATGTTTGTAATGAATAGGCTCAAAAAGTACTGGGCCGTTTTAAAAAATTCTTTCACCAATAGAATGCTACATTCTTCCAATTTGAAATAGGCTACATATCATTTTGAAAAATTCGAGATCCTTGGTAAAATTTAAACAATGTAACCGAAGGTGTAGAAAAATGAGTCTTAAAATGTCTTTCGTCGAATGCGCTGCCGAAATTATTAGCGATAGAACAAAATAATATACAACAATATTGAAGAACATCATAATGTCTACAAAAAACTCCGTGGTAGCATATGTCCCAACTATTGTAGTTATGTCACTACAACAATCCAAATTTCCAAAAATAAATAATTGTCTACTCCGTGCGAAGCCGGGATGGGCTGCTAGTGTACTATAAGGATGAAGTCGCGGTGGTTGGGTGGATTTGCAATAGTAGGATGGGTCGACGTTTGGCCTGTATCTCGCCTGGCGGCACTGCCCACTATATGAGAATTGGCTTTTTGTTGCAAGCCACATTCTTTTTTAATCAAATTGTGTAGCTATTGGTTTCCCAAGTGTTAAATAAATAAACATGTAATCAAAAGTGAGTGCATTGTACGTAGATACCTCTACTTATGCTCTTCAGAGATGTTCTGTTGCCGGCTACAGGCCAAGAGCTAAGCTAAGTCCGTTTATTTCAGTTCACATTTTCAATACTTGTGTGCAGATCGCGTACTATGCGACAATTATGAAAAACTGCGTCGGCTATGATAAACTAACTTTTTTTATGAGGGGAGTCAATCATCCCATGATTTCTCCCGCCTTGGGTTAGGTGAGAGGGAGTGTCAGACTCTTACTGGCTGAAAACCACCCCGTTCCTACTCTATCCTGTCCGGTCAGGCCTTCCGCGGCTTCGTATCAGGCAACCGCCCTACTGGGCCCCGTTCTGTGGTAGTCTGATGGCTCTTTAATGTGAGTATCGTCCTAATATTTTGTTTGTGACGTTTCGCCTCGATAAGTAAACGAAGATATATTTTCCACAATTTTCACCAATCGTAAATCGTATAAAAAAGGTGTGTCAAGTCATTCGCTGATATGTATCGACTTTTTTAACAGTCACTGTGACGTGAGTAATTTTTCAGTTGATATTTTTTTGGCAGGTTATATTTTTCGTTGTATTTCTTTTTATCAGTGATCGATGGTAGCGGTGTGAATGAAAGAGACATAGATGCGTGGATTATGTGAGGAATTATTTCAAATAAAATAGGAATTGGTGGCCTGAACCAACCAGGCAGAACGCCGAACCCGGTCTCGTCTCGATTAATTTAAACGTAAAACAAATCGTGCTAAGGCTTCTGATAGAGGAGCAAATAAAGCAGACAGTACAAGTAACGTGGAATATTCTAACTTTTTGTTCAACCCTTATAGGAAAACACTCGTTTAAAAATACCTGTTACACCTATAATTTTTTTAATAAAGCGTACTTGCCGTTTTTTTGCAAAAACATTTTTTATCTCGATTTTTTTCCTATTTAGATCTTTACATTGTTTTATGCTGTATTTTTATCTATTACACACAAAATTGAGCCAACAAATCACTGACTACTCTAAAAAAGCTATTTAGGAGCCACCGAATAACATGACGACTACGTACTTAGGTTCATTCAATATGTTCCCAATTGTGATCCCCCCTCACGACAAACTCGGCCACTGCAATCCAGACAGTTGCCGGATTTCTACACAGCGCCACACGCACGTATGCATTAAAAAAAAATATAAAAAAAAAGTTGTGAAAAAAGAATTTGACAGTTTAGAGTTAAAAATGGCCGTTTTTCACTGCGCTCGTCGAGCCGGTGGCGCGTTTTGGTGAGTTCTTTTTATAAATATTAATTAAATACAAAGTTTTAATAACAAATTCTTTGGCGGAAAATTTTTGTCTCAATATTTTCACAGCTGTAGATTAATTTTATTCGAATTTAAATATTAATCCCATTAAAGTTATCACTTTTATTACTTTGTACTTATATATTTAGATTAAAAATATTTACATGTAATGTAAACAGTGATTTGACATTTTTACAAATGACATCTGTGAAAATTGGGGAGATTTAAAAAAAAGTAACTAGAAAAATAATACAAACAACCGTATCCAGTCGGCGGGAACTGGTTCATACTGAATTCTATTACAATAAATCTTGTCATTAAAGTACTTGAAACGAACCATAGTTGCTTGCTTCCGCGCATGCAGACATCCGTGGATCT